GTCTTAGGGCCAGTGCTCCAACCACTGAGCAAAAACAGCCAGGGCCTTAGTATCCTTTCTTAACTCGTGTAATGGATCATGATCTTTGGGGTCTGAGTCTGAAGAGAGGCTTCCCTTTTGTTCGCTGACAGCTCTGGCAGATGCACCTGCATTTTATTCCCTTTGTGTGGAAAGGATGGCTGAATTTTAACCCAGGCATTAAAGAAGCAGAAAGAATGTTCCATGGTGGGCTAATCTATACTTCTCTCTTACTGGCCTTTTTCCAAACTTCACATTTTTAGATTTCATTGTACCTTGTTAATTGTTCATGCTGGTAGCATTGCCAGCAGTTCTGCCCCATGGGAGCCTGAGTGCTGGATTAGAAGTGAAATCAATGAAGGGCCAGCGATAATGTGGTGATTGTTAGTGGTAAATCACAAAGCTGCAGTTTTGTGTCCCCCCCCCCCCAAATTTATTTATTATTATTATTATTTTCATGAACTGCAGTTTGAATGAGAGAGTTAAGGTTTTGCACCTGGGACTCCTGAGTTAGGACAGGATTTTGAACTCTGAACTGTGGCATAGGCCTGCACATATGCTTTCTATGGAGGTAGCTTTTGCATGCATTTTTTCCTTGGATGAAACCTTATTTAACAAATAAAGAAACTGAGGCTTACTGATTTGACATAACCATAAAGAAACACTCCCCCCCCTCCTCCCCCAGATAAAACTGCCCCAGGGAATTCCTGTTACTTTACTCTTTGCTTCTCCTTGCCTTGTGGAAGGTAACCACCATTAGAATTTTCAGGCGCCAGCCCTAACCAGTTTGGCTCAGTGGATAGAGCATTGGCCTGTGGACTGAAGGGTCCCAGGTTTGATTGTGGTCAAGGGCATGTACCTTGGTTGCAGGCTCGATCCCCAGTAGGGGGCATGCTGGAGGCAGCTGGTCGATGTTTCTAACTCTCTATTCCTCTTCCTTCCTCTCTGTAAAATCAATAAATAAAAAAAAAAAAAAAAAAAAAAAAAATTTTTTTCAGGCGCCAGCCTGGTTGGCTAACCTAATGGAGTAAAATAGTTCCAGCTCCAAGTAATGGTGAACTTGGAGGAGGGCCCAGTGTAACCAAGTCCCTGGAGTAAAAATTTGATGTTGGTCTTTATTCATTTCAAAGAAGAATGTGGGTGGAAATATGATATATTCCAAGCAGAAAATAAATAAATAAAAATAGTGGCTCTAGGGATTTATGCCATTGCCTTGAAGATTGTTTGGTTCTGCATTAATTTTAGATAATTCAGTAAGAGAAAAGTTTTCCTTAGTAGACGGCATTTTTAGCCAGAAATGTACAACTTGAGTCCACTCATGAGGACACATCAGACAGACCCAAAAAGCACATTCTATTTTTTTAAATTTATTATTATTAAAGAAGTAGTCTATGTTTTAAAAACAAAGTCAATGTCAAGAAAGACAAAAGCTGTGGAAATGTTCCAGATCCAAGGAGACTGCAGAGACTTAACAGCTAAATACAAAGCCTGATCCTAGACTGGATCCTGTATTAGAAGGGAAAAAGTGCTGTGATTGACAAAATTAGGATGTGGATGGCAAATCATAGCTAAAAGTACCAATGTTAAATCTATTGAAGATTAAAATTATATGGCTGTTATGTTTTTAAAAACTATGGTTTTGTAGGAAATATATATTGAAGTATTTAGAGGTAAAGGGCCATAACATACACAATGCAATTTAAAGTAGTCTAGAAAAAAAGGGAAAAAGAGAACGAAAATGATAAAAAAAAATAGTGTAAAATTTTGACAATAGGCAAATATGATTAAAGGATACTATTTGTAGTCTTACATCTTTTTTTGTGAGTTTAAAATTATAAGTATATTATTGCTATTAAAACAAATGACCACAAACTTAGTGGTTTAAAACTACACAGATTTATTATCTTACTACCTAGAAAAAGGAAGCTCTAGAACTTTTCTTTCCTTACCCTTTGGGAGCCTACCACTTCAGTCAACTTGAGTTCACTTGCAACACTGCACAACAAAACAACACAAAAGAGCAGGGAAAGGAATAGATGGGATGTCTAAAAGCCACATAATCTGTAGTCTTTTGGGGAATCCGAGTCTTAAGAATTCAAACAGTCTTTGTATTGGAGATTATATAATTTATATGTAGCCCTTTTCTGTGGACAGAGCTAGAAAATGTATGTATGTATATATACACATATATACACACTTACATGTTTGTGCATACACAGTTGTCCCTCTGTATCCGCAGGACCCCCTGCAGATACCAAAATCCTAGTCCCTTACATAAATTGGCATAGAATTAGCATGTAACCTGTATGCATACAGGCTACAGCAAGGTATGTCTACACATAACTTCATTTGCGTGGAGTCAGCCTAGTCCTTGGCATGGGACAAATTCAAGTTTTGATTTTTGGAACTTTCTGAAAAATTTCCCCCCAAATAATTTTGACCTGCAGTTGATTGAATCTGCAGTTGTGACACCGTGGATACAGAGAACCAACGGTATCTATTTTAAGAAATCAAGAGTTCACAAAGATATCATCAATTGCCCTCCATCCCTACAGGGTTCTTCTTTCTTTCCCTCTGCAGTCCATATTTTTATGTCCCTCTTTACACATTTGCTTAATCCTAGAATACATCTAAAATAGTTCTGATTTGCTTTGCCCATACATCTGTAAGAAATAAACCTACTAAACAGAATTCAGGATTTGTTTACTACCCCCCCCCCAAAAAAAAACAACAACAACAATACAACAACAACCCTCAACTGAGATATTTAGTAAAATTTTGTGTTCAAAAGTTACTCAGATTAGTTTTTCTTTTTTAAACCCCCTCTAGTGTGGGTTTGGTATTCATTTGAAATGCAGGTGGGTTCATTTTTAGTTTACTTTTAACATTTAGTTCCCCCCCTCGCATCCTAGTTTAATTTTATTTTGAATATGTAGAGTATCAACATGCTTCCAAAAGTCAAAACTATAAAAGGGCATATTCTGAAGAAGTGTAGCACATTCCTGAGTCCCTTCCACCCTGCTCTCATCATTTATAGGTAACCAACTTCATTACTTTTTGGTTTATTTGTCCTGGGTTCCTTTTTGTAAAGATAGTAGGTTGTGTATGTTTTCTTATTTCCCTTCTTTTATACAGATGTTAACAAACTATATGCTCTTCTGCACTGTGATTTTTTTTCATTTATTGTGTCCTGGAAAAATCACTTCATACCAGTTTATACATGTGTTTATACATGGTTTTCAACCAATCTTTAATATTTGAGGACATTTATTTTCCAGTAATGCTCCATTCATTAACCTTGTGCACATGTATTTTACATTATTGAAAATATATCTTCAGGATAAATCCCCAGCAGTAGGATTGCTCGGTGTATTAGACAACTTGGGCTGCTATAACAGAATACCATAGAACGAGTGGCTTAAACAACAGATTTATTTTCTCACAGTTCTGGAGGTTAGAAGTCAAGGTCAAGGTACTGTCTGTGTTGGTTTTTGGTGAGACCTTTTTTAAATTATTTTTATTTTTTAAGAGAGAATATATTTTAAAAAACATATTTTTATTGATTTCAGAGAGGAAGAGAGTGGGAGAGAGAAACATCAATGATGAGAATCATTTATTGGCTGCCTCTGCACGTCCCCTACTGGGGATTGAGCCCGCAACTTGGGCATGTGCCCTTGACCGGAATCGAACCCAGGACCTTTCAGGCCACAGGCCGACGCTCTATCCACAGAACCAAACCAGTTAGCACTTTGAAAAAAGTTTTATTTTTTCTTTTCTTTTCTTTTTTTTAATATATTCCATTGATTATTTTTTTTTAGAGAGAGGAAGGGAAAGGGATAGAGAGTTAGAAACATGGATGAGAGAGAAACATCGATCAGCTGCCTCCTGCACACCCCTCACTGGGGATGTGTCCTCAACCAAGGTACATGCCCTTGACCAGAATCGAACCTGGGACCCTTCAATCTGCAGGCCGACGCTCTATCCACTGAGCCAAACTGGTTAGGGCAAAAGTTTTATTTTTCAATTACTGTTTACATTCCATACTATTTTATATTAGTTTCAGGTGTACAGCATAGTGGTTAAACAAGCATATATTAGTAATTTACAAAGTAGATCCCTGATATTTCAAGTACTCACCTGGCACCTTACATAATTATTATACTATTATTTACTATATTCCCTATGCTGTATTTAACACCCCCATGACTCTTCTGTAACTACCAATTTGTACTTCTTAATCCATTCACCTTTTTCACCCATGCCCTAACCCAGGGGTGGGCAAACTTTTTGACTCGAGGGCCACAATGGGTTCTTAAACTGGACCGGAGGGCCGGAACAAAAGCATGGATGGAGTGTTTGTGTGAACTAATATAAATTCAAAGTAAACATCATTACATAAAAGGGTACGGTCTTTTTTTTTTTTTTAGTTTTATTCATTTCAAACAGGCCGGATCCGGCCCGCGGGCCGTAGTTTGCCCACGGCTGCCCTAACCCCACATCCCTCTGGCAACCATCAGTCTGTTCTCTGTATCTATAAGTCTGTTTCTGTTTTGTTTGTTTATTTATGTTGCTCCTTAGATTCCACATGTAAGTGAAATCATATGGTATTTGAAGAGATGACCACTCTTAAACTATTCCATGAATAGCTCTCAGCAGGTTGAGTTATAGGTAACAACTTGCTTCAGGATTGCTTGGATGCTCTTAAAAAGAAAAGGATACACACACATATTTATGTTTAACAGCTTTGTTGGGGTATAGTTTACATACCACAAAAATACACCCATCTTAAGTGTACAATTCAGTCATTGTCCCAGCATCATTTGTTGAAGAGACTCTCCTTTCTCCATTAAATTGTCTTGGCATCTTGGTTAAAATTAGTTAATTATATATAAATATGTGGGTTTATGTCTGGACTCTAAATTTTATTCCTACCACTTGCTTTTGTATGGGCTGAGTTTCTTGTTTTCTCCGTTTTATAACAGGATCATGGAGTTGATAGCACCATTTTCCAGAATCCCAAAAAACTTCACCTAACTATTGGGATGTTGGTACTTTTAAGTGAGCAAGAGATCCAGCAGACATGTGAGATGCTAAAGCAGTGTAAAGAGGACTTCATTGAGTGAGTAATCCACAGGAGTGGGGCAGGGTGGTCACCTGTACTGGGTTTTTTGGGCTATCAAAGACTTGGTTTTGGACTAGAGAGCTGGGTTACATGGGAATGAGGTTTGTTGACTCACCCATTTGTAACACTTCACATTGAACCGTTGTCTGAAAGGTTTAAAATGTACTTAAAGCATATATTTACAAATTTTTATGGAAAACCTTTACCTTAAATTATACTCGTTCAGTAGGCAAATTTTGTTTTTTTTAATAGGACATGCCATTATTTTCTCCAAAAGGAAATTCTCTTCATTACCATCAAAGAGTATAGACTACTATGTTAGTTTTCTGTATTACTATAAGGTTGGTGGTTTAAAACAATATAATGTACTATATAGTTCTGTGGGGAGAAGTCTGATATGGGCTTTACTGGGCTAAAATCAAGGTGTGCAGGTTGTGTTCCTTTCTGGAGGCTCTAGGGAAGAATCTGTTTCCTTGCCCTTCAAGTCCAGCTTCTAGCGGCCACACACATTCCTTGGCTAGTAGTCCCTTCCTCCGTATTCAACACTAGCAGCAGTGACCCTTCTTCTGTTGTCACACCTCTCTCTCTGGCCACAGCAGGGAAAGGCTTCTGCTTGTAAGGACTCTCATGATTTGATTGAGTCCATCCAGATAATCCAGGATAATCTCTCCATCTCAAACTCCAGAACCTAAATCACATCTGTCAAAGTCTCTGCCATATAAGACAGGGAATTTACAGATTCCAGATAGTAGGATGTGGGCATCTTTGGAGAGCCATTATTCTGCTTCTCATGGTAATTCAACATTATAACTCAATGATGACGAACCTATGACACATGTGTCAGAGGTGACACTCGAACTCATTTTTTGGTTGATTTTTCTTTGTTAAATGGCATTTAAATGTATAAAATAAATATCAAAAATATAAATCTTTGTTTTACTATGGTTGCAAATATCAAAAAATTTCTATATGTGACATGGCACCAGAGTTAAGTTAGGGTTTTTCAAAATGCTGACACGCTGAGCTCAAAAGGTTCGCCATCACTGCTATAACTTGATTCTCTAGGAAAGTCTTCATTGTATTTCAGAAATGCAGACTTTAATTTTCTTTTTGTAATACAGGTAATTTTGTGTAAATCAGTGTGAGGATACTAAAAGACCATCCAAGCAAATGTTTTTGGCTCAGAGAAAACATTGCAGAGTTGTTATTCTTTTTACTGTAAAATTTTAATTTACACATACATCAACCCAAGGAACACAACCCTGCCACACCTTGATTTTAGCTCAGTAAACCCATATTAGCTTTATTTCAAAGAAGCATCTCTTCCCACCTCTCACTTTACTCCTTTTACTTAGGATTGATGAAGAACAAGAGAAATTTGAAAACTGACTCACTTGAGCCTGGCCAGAATGGCTCAGTTGGTTGTGCATTGAGGAAGGCAACCGATCCATGTCTCTCTCTCTCTCTCTCTCTCTCTCTCTCTCTCTCTCTCACTCCCCCCACACCCCCCTTGGGTGAGGATTAAAAAAAGAGAAAGGAACAAAACTGGCTCGTTTGAATAGTTTTTAAAAATTTGTGACAATAAAAAAAAAAAATTTGTGACAATATTCAGGTCCCATACTATTGTATCATTGCCTTGTAGAAATGGGTTATCTGGTTCATGGGGTGAAACAAGGTAAAAAAATTAAAAATTTTCCTCTAGTTATGTTGTATATAAAACTGTTTAATACAATGACTTAATTTGTGGGCCTCTTCTCCTTTTCCATTGTTTTGAAGACAAAATACTGTTTTTGAGCAAAATCATAAGCTGATTGGGTTTACAGTCTGTTTATTCTTTCTGAATCTCAAATAGCAAGTAATACTTTTGTCTTGTTTGTTCAGTAAGGAACATAACTGTCTTTTCTCAATCTTACCTGAAACTCAGAATAATTTGGTGTTTGTATTTAGGTATTTATAACTTTCCTTGCAAAAAAAGAAAACTTTATGCTTTACCATACAAAGCAGAGCAATTTTACCTGGTTTAAGAATGAGTTCTGATACCTTAACTTATACCCTGGTTACTTTTTGTTAAACAAAACTGAAAGCAGCTGCATTTTCTTGGCTACCATTGGAAGAATCCTGTAAAAATTTTTTTAAGGTGAATAAAATGTTTGTTTAGAGAAGTATTTTTTTAACCTTATGAAAAATCACTTCACCACGTGTGAGAATGTAGCCATCTGCAATCCAGAGAATTCTCACCAAATCGGCAGAACCTTTATCTTGACTTCCCAGCCTCCATATCTGTGAGAATAAATGTCTGTTGTTTCAGCCACCAAGTGTCTGGTATTTTGATGACAGCCTGAGTAGATTAAGATATTGCAGCAGCTGTGTTTTCCTCACTGAACCAATTTTTTACTTTTTGCCTATTGTTCCTGATTATATGGCACTGAATCTGATTGTCTCAGAATCCTGGAGTTTCCACAAGACACCAAACACTCATTAAATAAACTTTCTTCTTAAATGAAAAAAAAAATGGGGTCACAGGTTTTTAATCACTGGGGTTTTATCCTGAGCTATGTGAGGATTTAGCTGAGTTCCTCTTTTTATGTCTCTTGCTGCCTTTTGTGACTGAAGGCCAAATCTAAGCCCTTTAAGCATGTTGGGGGTGATGTGCATAGGCAATGAAGATCAGCCTTAATAGTTCCTAAGAATTTTTGACATGACAGGATGAAAACAGTAATTGTAGTTTTTCAAATTCAGCCACGCTTTTGAAATAGGACAAAGTTACCCTGCCAAAAATCTGCAATGCAGGCAAAAAATTTTGAACATGCTCTTTTCAAGAAGCTGGAAAGATTTGAAATCAGCAAGTAAAACAAGCCTCTCCGACACTCTTCTCCCCCACGGTTCCCTCTGCCACACACACTTGTTTAGAAAGTATACAATGCAAAATTAATTTATTTCTGAGAGGGAGGACGAGGATCAGAATTGGTGGTTTGGATTGGTTAGAAGTGCTTTGTTCTCATAAAAGGAAGAAATATCTCTTTAAAAAAAAGCTTATATTACAGGTCTAGTAAATAAAATGTATCATCTAACCTTTTTTTCCTTTATTTTTGCTCTTTGATGTTAGCCTTTATACTTCAGTAAACAATGACATTTCTAAGCTGAACTTTTTATGATGTAGAGATCTCAAATTAAAATATAAGAAATAAAAACATTGAAAATGAATACATCAGTGTATAATTTGCTGTAGTTTAGTTTGATGGCTTTTAAAATTAAAGTATTAAATATATATGGTTATATTGGAATTTAATTAAAACTGTGGTACTGTATAGGTATTTTAAAGAAATGGATGGTTGAATATTTGTTTTAAATTTGGTGGTAGTTTGAGTTTAAGGATGCTACCTGATGAGAAACAACTTTGATTTTAATTGTTAGGCTAAAGATTCGTGTAGCTATTTAGAATTATTCACAGTGAATTATTTACAGTGTCCAGGAAACACTGAAGCTCTGAATGTGTCCCTTGTGACTTTTCTTTGTGAGATATAGAGCACAAACAGTGCAATGGCCCTGAGTATATAGTCCAACAAATAGGCAGCATTCTGTAGCTCCAGCGTCACTCTACTTGTTCCTAAGTGTTCCCAGTAGGCCTGAGGTTAAACCAAATAAGTTAAAAAGGGAGAAGAATGAGGAGAGAAGAGGAGGAAAAATACCCATGGGCAAATGTTAGTTCCTAATTATTGCCTCAGATGTCACTGAATTGAAAAATGTGCTCACTGGTATTCCAGGTGGAGTAGTTTGGTCACCAAGACCAAGAGCATTTATCAGGCAAACCATTGGATTTCTCTCCTGTTCTTTAATCTCCCTCTTGATAAATCCTAGGGATAGGTTGAAAGAGTTTCAATTTCTACTCATAAAGCAGGCTGTAGATCCTGTTTCATTTTTTTTGTTTTTGTTCTTGGTATCTCTTCTCATTCCAAGGATTTGAGATCCTTTATAGTGAGAACATATATACAAAAGAAATGTTAAAGTCAGAGAGCTCAGAAACCATAGAGGTGGAATGGGGAGAAAATTCTACCTGAAAACCAAGGTAAGATAACTGTACTTGAGCATTAAAATTTAATGCTGTTTTTGAGCACCAGTATACTTGAACTAAATTCCAGAAAGAAACCCAGCAGTTATTATAGTTCTTTTTTTTTTATAAATCCTCTCACGAGGATATTTTTCCATTGATTTTTATAGAGAGTGGAAGAGAGGAAGAAAGACAGAGAGAAATATTGATGTGAGAGAAACACAGCTATCAGTTGCCTCCTGCACATGCCCTGACCAGGGCCCAGGCCTGGGAGGAGCCTGTAACCAACTGCACATGCCCTTGACTGCAATCTAATCCAGGAACCTTCAGTCTGCAGGCCAATGCTCTATCCACTGAGCCAAACCTGCTAGGGCTATAGTTCTTATCTGATAAAAAGGAGCATAGCAACTTTTTAGGAGAGAATTTTTTTCTGGTTCTAAAGTCAAGAGAAAAACTAGTTGCATAAATCTTAACATAAATAACCCAGAATGATGATAAGCATTATTTTTAACAGTTTTCTAGAAGATAAAAGAACATTGTTCACATTGCTTTTTCTTGTATTGACCTTTAGAAGTTGAGGACATAATCTTCTTATATAAAAGGCTAATATGAAAAGTGTCCCCTTGGGAGTTCGACCGGGAGTTCATTCGCTTGCTATGACATGCGCTGACCACCTGGGGGTGGCGTGGAACGAAGGAAGGCCCCTGCTGGCAGCCTGCAGCCAGGCAAGGAAGGCCCTGGTCGGCGGCCGGCAGCTGGAAGGAAGGCCCCTAATTGCTGGCCAGGCCTAGGGACCCTACCCATGCATTAATTTCATGCATCAGGCCTCTAGTCTATACTAATAATAGAGGAATATGCAAATTGTCCGGACGCTGTCACAGTAACAGTAACGACTGAACAGCAGGCTGCATGGTGCGACCATGCCGGCAGGGGCATTAGTGAGGGACGG